CTTGTCATATTTATACTTTCTTAAGAATACTATAAGTTGAAAACCGTCCTATATTGTGCTGTTGTCTTTCTTCATGCGGCAAATAATAAAATTATTTTATATTTACGCTTATTATAAGGAAATAAATCCTTGTAATCTGTAATAATAAAAAAAATTGATGTGATGGGTTACATTCACTAACAATTCATACATTGATTTGTTGATAGCATCAATAAAAAAAATAATAATTACATTTTTAGACAAAAAATTTTTACTACACATATATTTATGCAGGGTGTTTGATAATTAATGATATCGCTTCTGTATAAGCAGATAAGTTAAATTGAACAGAAAACTTCTCTATCATTTTATGATTTTTGCAATAATCAAAATTCAATAATTAAGAATCATCGAATTTATTTAGTTATTCTGGATATAAAAGTATTGAGATACATTATATATACATTATATACATATACATTATATACATTATACATTATATACATATATTTTAGTACATCTTTAACTTCATAAAAGCATTTCTTTTTCCGTGTACATGTGCGCATACACACCTCATCTTTAATGTGTGTATTACCTGCAATCAACTTCATAATTAATTAAACTGTGTCTTATTTTTAAAATTACTGAATATGATTTACAAATGATAACTAGTGCACATCTTGAAATATTTTGCCGCGCGCCAAGTAATCATGAATGTGTGTAACACTGATAGATTGTATCTTGCTATCGTGGTTGCATTTATTGCTGGACCAGGTATTTATTCGACGATTTTTACTTATTAATTTTTTGTCAACTATTGCAAAAATCGCAAAATAGTAAACAATATTTTTGTTCAATTTAATCCGCTCTATCTGTACAAGCGACACACACACACACACACACACACACACACACACACACACACACACACACACACACACACACACACACACACGTGTATCATTATCAAACATCCTGATATAACAATATAATGTATATAAATATTTTTGTGAAAATAAATAAAATTTCCAGATATGCTTATTATTTGAACTTAATTCTAGCCGAATTTTCACTTCTCTACTTTCAGGAAGAGAATTATCAATAAATAAATCTAATATAACTATAACTTGTAATTATAATGATTTTTGTTTATGCAGTCGACTTTATTTTTTCATCCTGTCAAAAGTAATCCTTTATCAAAATCTTTATCCTATTAAAAAAATAACTTCTTATCAAAGTTCCATATTACAGAAGATTATAAGTTATTACATAGACATAAAGGATTGTACGCGTGTCGAGAGAATGTGTCGTCAAAGTAAAATTGAACATGCGTAAGATGACTTTATGAGTAACTCCGACTATATTAAAACAGGCGCTAGATCCAAAGAGCTTCATATTTAAATAATACATTAGCAATTTTTATTAAATTTTTTTTATTGAATAAAACTTGCTTTATGAGAAATTTTAATTAAATTCTTTGAAGTATTTCTTCCTATATAGGCTTCATTGATATCAACAGTAGGACATTATCGTGAATCATATTTGCGAGTTCACTGCATGCGAAGAAAGAGACTCGTGCAGGCCACGTGACACAATATATACACATTTATATATACAAGCTATCACGCAAGGTAAAAATAATAATTCAAACAGCAAATGTCTTATCTAAGAATTAATTTTTTGAAAAGAAAAAATTATGGAAAATTTGTGCTTAATTATTAATTAAATTAATGGAATAACAGAATTTATGAGAGCTAATTAATAATTGAAATTTTTTAAGTTTTAGTTATTAATAGTTTATATTAGCATAAAAGAAAATCTATTGCTAAAATTAAAATGGTGAATTGTGGGACACTCTGTATACAGGCACTAGTTGGACACATAACAAGCGCACATTCACCGGTTAGTTCCTCCGGAGTACGTATAGCCATCCATTCATGCATACAGCCATTCATATGTTGGTCCGGCTCACCTTGGAAGCTTTTTATCATTGGTCGATGCGGGTCTCTTTTCTCTCTGTGCGCGATACACGCACGTGCACACGCGTTTACGCGCGTACGCGTATATGAAAAGAAGAAAATTATTCGCATTCTTCATGAAGGCGATTGTCACACACGTGAATGCCAAGTCGAACATTTGCCGATTATTTCTGTGCTTATTTAACAAACTTTTTCCTGTTTACGTTTAACGTTATGCGGAAAAATGTTCCGTTATTCTCACAATCTTATATATAATTTTCATTAAATTATATTCGGTTTATTAATTTATATCGATTATATAATAATAGCAATAGTTATCAAAATTTAAAAAGAATGTATTTTTTATATTTATATTAGTCAGAAATATCACATAGATTTGAATTATAAAAGCAATTAAAATATAAATAAAATAACATGGTTTTTAACAGTTCCATGAAAGAAAATATTTGTAATTAACTTTTTTTTTCTAATAAATGATAGGAACATTTGATAATGAATACACTCTAAAATCAACTAGAAAAACAAAAATAACTATCTATAGGAAAATTTTATTATAGGTATCAAACAAGTTAAACATATATGGAATATAAAAATTGTGTACATAAAATTTATAATTTGAAACATGTTTTGAAACAAAATGTTCCAAAATATTCTATTTAATTCCGGTAGTTTAGTATCGTCATATTTTATTGTTAATAAAAAATGCAAATTTAAACATGATAGTTTTCA